GTTCTAGCAGAGACAGAGCTGGGGTGGAGTTGGAGGGATAGGCGGTGGATTCCTGAATTCCACATGAGGGCCTCATTGGTAGCAAGTCTGTTCCTTCCAGGAGGAACTGATCCTTTCATTTCACACACCGTTTGAGAGGAATATGAAAAAAAAACTTTCACAGCCTCACTGAATAAGGCAGATGGAGTGGAGGGGAAGAAGAAAAGAGAGATAGAGAGGGGGAGGCTACACTAGAAAGAGCATAGGAAAACACAGAGTGAAATGGACTTTAAAAGGCAAGGTCCGTGCACTTGTACCTTGTGAATTCTCCAGCATTACAGTAATCTCTTGTCTGACAGACATGCTGTGGTAAATTTGATAGTCCTTGGCAGGTTGGGTATGATACATTTTGGTTCGATAGTGTCAGCTTTTTCGTTTACTTTTATGGCCATCATGTATGAAGTATAAAACTATATCAAACACAGCAGAATAATCATAATAAACAACACAACAGGGGAATAATTTCCATATATTCAGCACTGTACACAGCATAACTCTGCTACTACACTGACGTGCCAAAAGTCATGGGATAGCAGTATGTAAATTGATAATGAAGTGACGTTACCTCAGGGGATGGCTTGGGAACGCCTGCACCTGTATAAGTAGTGAGGTGTTATCTTGGGTGTGAGGTTGAACACTTTCCAGCATAGCAAGGCGACATGAATTATCAGAGTTCGAACGAGGCATGACAGTGGGCGCCAGACGGATGGGACATTGTGTTTCCAAATTTGTGTGGGCATTTATTATTCCTCGATCCACAGTGTCACGTGGGTACTGGGAAAACATCATAGAAAGCATCACCACCCACTGTGGACAGTGCAGTGGCCGCCTACAGGTGCCTAATGATCGTGACCGGCGGCGTCTGGCTACAATTTTCCGTGCAAACACACAAACAACTCAGGCAGAAATCACATCCACATTCAATGCAGACCCCACATGCATATGCCACAGGTCAGTGCAGCATTATTTAGCTTCCATGGTATATGGGAGCAGAAGACCCACCAGAGTGCCTCTGTTAAAATCACAACATCAGACACAGCACCTCACCTGGCCTCATGAGGTTGCTAACTGGACCCTAAAGGACTGGCAACATGTGGCATGGTCCAATGAGACATAGTACCAATTGTTTTGGGTTGATGGTAGTGTTTGTGTGTGGTGCAGAACCCTTGAAGCAATGGACCCCAGTTGTCAACAAGGCACTGTGCAGGCTGGTGGTGGTTCCATACTGGTGTGGGGTGTGTTCTCACGGCATGGGTTGGGTCCACTGGTCCACCTAAACACATCATTGACTGGTGACCACTACGTTTCACTGCTTGGTGACCATTTGCAGCCCTTCATGGACTTCCTGTACCCCTACAATGATGGTATATTCCAGCAGGATAATGCACTGTGCCATCGGCCAAAGCTGTCCACAACTGGTTTGAGGAGCATTCTGGAGAGTTTCAACGAATGGTGTGGCCTGCATGTTCGCCCAACATGAGCCTAATCGAGCATTTATGGGATGTGGTGGAAAGGTTCTTTCGCACACGAGATCCTGAACTACAAATACCACAGAGCTGTGGGTGGCTATCTAGATGGCATGGCTCAACATTCAACCAGACGTGTTCTGTCCACTAGAGGAATCGATGCCACGTTGAGTTGCTGCACTTCGCTGGGCTAGAGGGGGGGTCCTACACAGTACTAGTTCCTGTACAAGGACAATAGCTTTGGAACTCATTTACTCGTGCCTGTTTAGCAGTCTGAAGTTTCTCCACAAGGGGGAGCTAGCGCCGAACCCACACAAGCAAGATCTCAAGAATGCATGCATGTGCAGAAACAACTTTCAATTTGAGGTGAAGAAATTTTCAAAAAACGTTTAATATGATTTTCTTTAAAGACCTTCATACATAATCTTATTGTATATCAGCAATAAGACATCATGCTAAATTGAGACTTCAATCTACCATAATCTGATGGAACTGTTACACAGAAACACAGTAATGAATTCTGTTATCTGAAAGTAAAAAGGCAAATCTTGTTGAATCTCATTAGTGACATGGTGGAGAGAAAGTGAAAAATCAAAAAGGAAGCACAAGAACTCATTACTGAGGCTTCGTCCCTGTAGGCCAGAGCCAGCACATGTTCTTTGACAGCTGGGCTAATTTAAACTTCATGATAATCTCCTGACCTCTTACACCACAGAGCAAATTCCATCTCACCCTTTCCCTATAGTTAATCCCATTTAACACCCATAATTTCCACAGACCCTATGGCATTTCACAAATTATTATACAAAGGTTTAAGACCCAAAGGGTCTAACGGAAGCTCTCTGCAAGAACTTTGTGTTGGTACTGGGTCTTTGGGGTATTCATAGGTCATGCTGTGATAACTTCACTTAGCTCCAGGAAAACATGCCATATACTTAAATATTTACAGTGCTGCACATTGTAGTACTTGCTGTTAATACTTCTGATGCTGTTATAAACCAGTCAACCCTTAAGGCGAAATTCTAAAACTTCAATAACTCACGTAAAATAAAAACATAATCATTCCGCTCGCCCTGGACTAAAATTTCAATAAGGGAAAGCATGTCAGACTAACAGGAATGTTTCTGAGGTACCCACACATTAGGTGCAATAAGAATTTCAATGAGAGAATATAATCAAATAACTGTGCTTTATTAGAATATGATTTATACGAACTACTAGAGGCAAAGAAGCAAATTCTGTTAATGTTCATCATTTTTTCCTCCTTTAGCTGAAAATGAGTGTGTGATGACTTCCAGCTGCCTGCATAGCGTCAGTGCGCCTCTCCCCTGTGAACCTAATCTACAAACTGACACATGTCAGGAAATTTGAAAGTAATGTATTTGCAGTTTGACAGGGGGAAAGTAAAGCACAAAGATCTCCACTTAATTAACATCAGAGCTGTTTTTTTTTCAATCTCCCATTCAGTCAGAGGGAATGGGGTTTCTTGCGTATTCATGAGATTAATTTACGTATGTAAATGCCACCAGGGAGAAGCCCTGGAGGAGATGGACGACCTATAAGAGTAGAGAGCACAGCTGTCCATCAAGGGAAGGAGTCCATTCTACTAATCCTTATGAGAGTGGAAGGTGTGTGTGTGTGTTGGAACACTAGCAATCAGAGAAACAGACCTAGACTTAGCTGGCAGAGGCTAAAAGTCTGTTTATGAGGTGGAAAGTGCACTGGAATCGAACTGGCCTGCTCTATGAATGGTCACTAAGCAAAGAGGCCACAGTCTGAGGCAGGAGAGTTTTCAGCAGTGTGTTTTACACAACGTTTACCCTTAACTATAGTAATACTTAAAGGTTTCTGTGGTGCTAAGTTCACAACAATAACATTTTTTACAACATTTTTTCAGCTATTAAATTTCATTTACAATACTATGTAGGTGTGTCAGTTACATATAAACATAATTTTTTCATTTATAGAATTAATTTATGCCTTTAGAGCTTTGATTACCAAACCTCCTCCTGGTCCTGCATCTAATGTTCCCTTACCTAACACTAATGCATCTGCTCCAGCCAATGACGGGCTGTATCCAAAACTGCATACTATTATACTGTACATATTAAACAAAGGAATGTACTTCTGATGGTGGTGTGCCATTTAGCACTGCAGTGTGCACTTTTTGATGAGGTCAAGGACCTCTAAAGAGGTTAAATAGCAAGAGAAGGTGTGTCAGATTGTGGCTGACTCTACAGGAGTCCACTGGTAACCACTGTTTTAAGCATCATTGCTGCACTGTCCTTTGAGCTTGAGCAATGTATTTTCCCCTTGTTAAACCATATACTGTCATATAGTTATACTTAAAAATGGAAGATTCTGCTGCCTGACTTAGTTTTTATCTGTCATCTTTGCTAGTCCTGTAAAAGGAGATGATTTAGATATGTTTCTCAGCCTTTTTGCTCCACAAGGTCACACTGTCTGAACCCATTTTTATATGCTCTGGCAGGATTAACAGTGAGCTGAAGCGTTTTATGACTGAAGCAGAAACCATAATCACTGGAAAAAGGGGTTAAACATGTTAAAAGCTGGACTCAAATGTTTTGTACTCAAACATCCGCAGCTGAAATGACCAAAATGCACTTCTCAGGATACAGCCATTTCTCCTAACTGTATTTCAGTAAGGTCTAAACTAGCCTAATGACCGTGAAAGTGCTTCTCTGACACTGTGAATTTGTACACATTATGGTACCTGAGCTACGGGCTTCAAAAATCCTATTTTCAATGCTGCATAGCATAGTAACTGTTGGTGAAAGTACTTACACTGTATATCCAAAAGTATCGAGACATCATGCTCAATGCCAAGCGTTAGCTACAGGGGTACAAAGCCCCCTTGCACTGGGCTGTGAAGCAGTATAACTGCACTCTCTGGAACACCATCCACCAGCTCTAGGATAAGATGAAGTGTCGTTTGTGATCCAGAGCTAATCATCCAACATCAGTACCCGACCTCACTAATGCTGTTGAGGCTGAATGCAGTCAAATCCTCACTGCAATGTTTTATATATATATATATGGGCTCACTTATGTGGCCTAATGTAAATGTGACGTAGATAAATCTTATCAGGACATTATCTAGAAATCAATCACCTTAATTAGGTTCTAGGATTTGTAGAAACTCCTGTATTTTTACTATAGACCATTTTCAAAAGGACAAGTACACGATCGGTGCCTTCAGATCTCTGTGAACAAACTTTGAATTCATAACTTTCAAAGCTCCAAGGGTCAGACCCTCAGCCAGAATAGCAATGCTTTCTATTTTTGCCTGAGGCTAAAATCCTAAACTTTGAACTTTAGTGTCAGAAAGTTCGGCTATAAAGCGGTTGCTCTCTGATAGCTCTCTTTGCCTGATAGCTCCACTCACACTACTCAATGGGGCTTTCAAAGTTGAAATGTAGTGAGCAGTTTAACATTAAGAATGGTCAATGGAGAATACCAGAGAAGCACACAGACCTCTGCGCAAAGCTGCCATCCTTTCTCCGGCAGTGCAGTGTGACCACTCTGTGGCCTTCACTTCTCACGTCCTGACTGACCGTCCACTGGGCAGGATTGCTGACTCTCGCTCCTAAAAAGGCCACGCCGTCTTTCAGCTTCACCCTGGGTGAGAGACAAAGAGACAGCAGAGGTTTAGTGAAAGTGCACTGTGTAACAGGATCACCACGTTGTAGACACTGACGTGTGTAATTGATTCAGCAGTAATAGATGCAGATGAAATACCTGTGTACAGATTGGCTGTGTGCCAGTTGTGCAGCTGCATCCTGTCAGCCTGGTAGATATCTTACAGCTTATGATGATCAGGTAAAATACAAAATTCAAACAGTTCTAGAGGCTGACAAACAATTCTCCACACTAATAACACTGCTAGAGCTAACATTAGCAGAAAATACTGGATCGGATGTTGAAGGGTAAAAGAAAATGAATCTGAGCCTGAAATAGTCTTGTTGTGGAAGTCATAGAGAGTTTGAGCAGTTTGAGCATGATTGTTTTTATGCTCATCTTAAGTAAAGAGCATCAATAAAAGATATCTAATTTTAAAGTTTAGTAGTTGTTCAAGCAAAAAATATCTGATCAGTATTGGTAATGGTCAAGATTTTAATATTGCCATTGGTATCAGAAAGGAAAAAGTAGTATCATGCCATATCTAATTACTGCCTAAAATTATAAATGATAATAATAACCACAGTACTCATCCAGAAACAGAGCAAGACCAAAGCAGGTAGAAATGACAAATGACTGAATTCATTTTGGCCCTATCAAGCATTTTACAGCTTTCTGGACAAGCTGTTTCTATAACATGTCTTCTTTTACTGTCACTGTTTTATTATTACACTGTAATCACAAAAATGTCAAAACTCAGCACAAATGTGTTTATTTCAGCATGTTTTATCAAAAGGCATTGTTTGACAGGTAGCATCTTTAAAATAGACTCAGCTCCACCACACTTGGCACAACTACACTGTGTCATACATTACTGTGTCATACATGCCTGTTTTCCATAGAATATGACTAGTATATCCATATATGTTCATTTCCTTTGTAACAATGACAACATTCACACAAATAGTGCGCTTTCCAAGATCTCGTTGGCTAATGCAGTTTTGAAGCTGAGTGAATGATCAATCTCAGTTTTTAGAACACATTCATTCAGTTATTGTACATATTAAATCCTTGCCATACTCTGAAGGACATTACAGAACAATTCTGATGATTAATGGTTTACGTATTTTATAGTTTACTCATGTCCAACTGCAGCCAATTGTTTGATCTCTTTCTATCACACGCTGTCAGAAAAAAAAGGTATGAAACTGTCACTACGGTAGTACCCTCAAGGGTACATCTTAGGACCTTCAGTCAGGTAACATAATTGTACCCTAATCCATTGACATTATATTTTCTAAGCTTGACTCCACACACCCCGTCTCGTCTCCAGGCTTTTTATATTACTGTTTTGTTTTAAAACATTAGGTTATGAAAAGGTACAAATATGTACTTTTTCACCTGGGAAATAATTATACAAGATACACAGTTGGACCTTAAATCCACCGTTGAACCTTTGAGGGAACATTTACACTGTTTGTACCATTAGAATGAAAAATGTACCTGCACAGAACCTTCATGCAACAGTGCATGATGCTACCAAGCTGGAAGGGTGCAAGCTAGCCTGTACTTCCACTGACAATCTGCTGTTAACACAATGTGATTCGACAGCTCATCACGCTTAGAGGAGAACACTAACTTCCTATTGTGTTATGTCGGTTAACAGACACCCTCGCTGCCTGGCACTGTGCTGAGAAATAGAGGGGAGGGAGGGCCATTCCACCCACCCATAGACCGAGGCCTTTATCTCTTGCTCTCTATGGCATTGCTAAGAATCAAATCAAATGTGTGTATATATATATATATATATATATATATATATCTTGTCGGAAGAAAACCTTGTATCTCCAAAATAACAACTTTACAGGAAAATGTTTTTTTGTAATGCATCAAATGCAAAAAAAGAAAAAAAATACTATCGGTATATAATATCAGTATTAAACTGACAAAGATGCAATGTGATTTTTTTTGTTTAAAAAAAATTCCCATTCACCTGATGATTCTTTATGAATTAGGATGTCTTGCTTAAAACATATGTTAACAATTACTATCCTGTGAGCGTAAAAGATTGGAGTGTCCTTATTTTGTACTAAAACACTCAATATACGACTGTCCGAAAACCCCATCGTGCACTGAGGAGCAGTTTAGCCGTGAAGATCACTTTTATTCTAGGCAGGAAGTCAGAATAAACAGAACTGTGAAGGCTTTACTGGGCCCCGCATGCTACATTTTTTTTATGATACGTTTGCCTTGGAGGGGACATTCTAAAGCAAGTTGTTCTTCTTCCACGTATAACCTTCTGAGATTCGTCCGAATGTATGCCTCCTGCCGCATATAATCAATGTTCTCTTGCTATAGGGGTCTGCGGTTGTTTTCCACATACAGTATTTACTGCTGCTAAGCTGCCAGGCATGAAGGCTCCATGCCCCTGGAGCACTCAGAGCAGTTATTTTGCTAATCTTCTCAGTCGCTGCCCTTTCATTCACTGTGAACATAATGTGCTGTTAGTTGCAGCTCCCGCTGCTCATACTGCTGCAGCGGGCTATAAGAAGCGAGCGGGGCAGGAGAGTGGAGAAGGACGAGAAGCCACACACCCTCACCGCTCTTCATCATGCACCCATTACTCTTTTATTCTTCACCTTGTCACATAAAATTACCCCGACGTACATGGAGAGCTTTTCAGACTTCTGCAGGGCTTCGTGACAAATTGGCCTGCCTAATGTCCACCTAAGAATGGACTCAAACAGTCTTAAAATTAAGCATGAATAGAAGCAAAACCATAGTCACAGAATTAACAAAATGAAAAAATTAGGCCCTGAAAAGTGCTGTGTGTCGAGCAGAGCACGAAGAAAATGTTACAGAACCTCCCAGCAACCGTCTGCAACAGTGAAGGCAGCTAATGCTGCTAACGAGTCCCAGCAATCCAGATGATAATGGTGCGACAAACCGCTCACAGTTCAAAGTAGTTCTCCGTCTTACGTCTCTGTCCCGTCTTTGATCATATCAGCCAGCCGCACTATCTGGAGTAATAGCTGGACTCTGGGCTTTCTGACAGCCAGAGATGAATACATCTGGACTCATTTTCGCCCCGTGTTAAACGCGGCCTTTCTCACTATAATTGCTTCATTTTCCAGCAGGCCGACAGTTAAGCAAGGCACAACGGAACAGACAAGCGTGTATAGTGCACAAGCTGCATTACAAATCGGATCTACAGTAAGAATATGCCATATGTGCATTACTGGAATGAAAACAAACAATCAAAGACCAAACAGCAAGACCAATTTTTTTTTCTGTCTGTCAATAGTGCACAAATTCAAGCGAAACACACACGACCAGGGGAAAAAACAAGCATCAAGGGTTAATTAGGAAATGGCAGATTTTAATGAGATTGGTCTGGCTAATATGATTTCTGGAGGGAGACGCAACAAAGGCCAGAAAGCAATTTAAGGAGAGCCCCTCTTTCCCCATGCATCAGCACAAGGATGCCAGCTCATTAATTCTGAAACAACCTGAGTATCAATTAAATTAGTATTTACAAATGTGACGACTGTCGGGAGGACCTGAGAGAGAGAGAGAGAGAGAGAGAGAGAGAGAGAGAGAGAGAGGAAGAGAGAGAGAAAGGGAGAGAGATATGGATTTTAATAACAGATAGAGAGAATGTGTCAGAATCCTGACAGGCCATCACAGGCCTCCACCAGCCGTGTGAAATAATGAGTCAGTTCTGGATGTACACACAACTGTGATTCTCCTACAAATTCCACTCCACAACAGTCCACATGTCTTCTCCCTTTGGTGAATGATGTCCATATTGCTTCAGAGCCTGATGTCACCTTTCAGGTGAATTCCATAAGATGAGTGAATCAATAAACTGTCACATCTGAAATTGTTGATTTAATTCAAGGAGGGAAAAAAGATGACAATGAGCTGACAATGGGGAATCACTGTCATACACACAACACATACACACACGCACGCACATATATATATACATTTTGTTGCAGTCCAGAGCATGTATCTACTTCTTTTGACTTCTGTACTTACAAATATCAACAAAAGTATTTTATAAGCATTAACAAGGATAGGCTATTTACAAAAATAAGACTGATAGCAAAATAAGTACTCAGACACCACAAATTAATAATATTACAATTTTCTTGCAAAGCTGCTGTTGGTGATTATGTCTACGGCAAGACTCAGTTAGCTTTTTGAAGCAGTGTGGTTCAAATTTGGCATACCCCTCTTGGCAAACTGTCTTCAATTCCCCAAAGTTATGAGGGTTCCTCTGGTGGAATTTCAAAATCCTCCATAAACTTTCAATGGGATTCAAGCACCTTCACCTTCTGTTTTTAGAAAACAGAGTCTAGAGTTATTTTGGTAGTCTGTTTGGGTGTGCTGTCTTGTTGAAATCTTCTCAGTTTCTTGGCAGATAAGATTAAATTATTTTCTAATGCGTCCCATTACATGACTCCATTCATGTTTCTTTCATAGACATGTAATGGTGTTCTTGAGATCATATATGCAACCCTTTTTTCTCCAAACATGACAAACCGAAGTATGACCAATTGTTGTCAAAGTGCTTGAGTGCTAATTTTACACATGTGTCTCTATGCGTTTTCCTTAGCAAAGGAGTTTTGTGTGGGGTGCAGGAATGGGTACGATTGTGGTGCAGTTCATTGCTTATTGTTCTCTGCTGCTTTCAGGCTGTCCTGCAACTCTTTCCGGGTCACTGCTGGCTTGTCTCGTATCTTCCTTGTCTTTCGTCTAAGAGCGTGTTGTGAAATCACACAATCTCACGTGACTCATTTGACCAAAGCCAAGTAGTTGCGGCTCTTTCCACTTTCCACTTGAATATTATTGGACCATTTGTATTAACATGGAATGTTACAGTCTTTGCTAGGGCTCTGTACATTTTTCCATTGGAGAGTTGTTTGGTAATGTTGTCCCTGAGAACTTCAGGAAGCTCCTTCACCTTCACCATGATTGCCGAAATCAATGGCAAC